CAAAAGTGACTTTTTAAAAAACTGAGATGCTGTAAGTTATATATTAATGTATTATAAACATAGAATTTAATAATTTTATGTGCATTTATTTGCTTACTAATAACAGTTTTCAATGCGTAGATTATTATCTTGCATATTGTTAATTGAGCATTTTTCTCCTTGCATTAGTTTCTGATGTAAATTTTTCTTCTGATAGTCTCCCAGTTTCCTTCATTGACTTTAAATACCTCATGGTTTGGGGTGTCATAAAAATATTTATTTAAATTGATTCATATTTTAGCAGAGCTAATTAATTTCATGTTAAATTCTTTATGGAGCATGACTCAAATGAGTTTATGCAAATGAACACATTTTGTACAACCCTATGATTTAGATAACATCCATTTGCTAAGGTGTGTATATCTTTCACATTCATTGCATGTTTAATACACTTAAATCAGGGGTGGAGCAATAACTCAGCAGTTAAGAGTCCCTGCTGCTTTTGTAATGGATAGAGGTTCACAACATTCCTAGCACCCACCTGGAGACTCTCAACTATCTGTAACTCCAGTTGCAGGCGATCTGACACCCTCTTCTGAACACTGCAGGCATTGCATGCACGTGATGCAAAAAGACTCATACATACAAAATGAAATAAATCCTTAAAAACCTAAAATGTGCTTAAAGATTTCTGTTATCTTTTTCTAATTCATTTGATTTGTTTCATTTTCCTTATACAAGCTTAGTATCTAATTTCCATCATGAATTAATATTTGATCTTTGGGTTATTAAGACATGTATTTTAAGTTTTCCATGATATGCTTCTAATTATAGTATTGTTTTATTTTTCAATTGTGTTTTATTCAAGGGACATTATATAACTTTAACCCACTGTAAAACGTAGTCTTAACTGATGACTCTGATGTATTTTGCATATCTCTGCCCTTCTGTGGGTTACCCTTGATAACCGGAACAATTTTCATTCTTTAAAAAATATTTTATCTATTGCTTTTTAATTGTTTTATGTGTATGAGTATATTTCCTGCATGTATGTAAGTGCACCTGAAGGAAAAGCATTCCAGAAAAATGACAATAGGGAAGACAGGAAAGAACCAGACCTGGTGTCAACAGGACTGCATTTATTAGCACAGTTAGGGGCAGCAGCCTTCCCATGGGAATGGAGGTTGTGCGAGGGAGTAAGAGCTGGTCAGAGTTTTTCTAGGGGCCCTAGGAGACAGCTGCAGGGGGGAAGTTTGAGTTTGTTGTGGTTTTTCTTGGTCCCTGAGTAGGGCAAGATGAAGTTCCTGATAAAGAACTGGATGCTCTCAGGGTAGGGTTAGGGGACCAGATGTTCCATGGTCAGGGTTCCTATGTTGTACTATTTTTCCTTCAGCACCCATGTCATACAGTGCCAGCAAAGGTCAGAAGAGGGTGTCAGATTCCCATGGAACTGGAGTTACAGACAGTTGTTAGCCACCATGTGGAGTTTGGGAACAGAACCCGGGTCCTACACAAGAGCAGCCAGTAACCACTGAGCTATCTCTACAGCCCCACAACTGTCATTCTTTGCTTGCTGAGTATATTGTATTCTACTCTTATGCCAGGTCATTTACTATCATAGAGGTCAATCTTTATAAAATGATACTAATGGCATCTAAGTGCTTGTTCAAAATTCATAATCTCAGGCTCAAGCAAGAACTATCTAATACAAATTTGTACATCAAGAAGATCCAAGATGATGTTGGAGAAGTACTGTACTATATCACTACCAATTTCTGCTACTTTTCATTCAAATATTGATAAAAGATTATAAAATTTTGCAGTGTAGATGTTGGGGACAAGGCCCAGTAGTCAGAGTGCTTATTCCACAAGCATGAGGTCCTGAGTTCAAATCTTACACACCCAAGTAAAATGTTAGGGACAGTTGTGCATATCTTTAACCCTAGCATTATAAAACAGAGACAGGAGAATCTGTGGGGCTCACTAGCCAGCCAGCCAGTTTGCCTAACCCAAACCCAAGAGTTTCCTGTTCAGTGAAAGATCCTGTCTCAAAGCAATAAGGCTGACAGTCAAAAGGAAGACACCTGATGTTCTGCCCTGGCTTCTAAATGGTGCACATGGGCCCATGCATCCATGCACAAGCAAGCACCACACACATATATACGCTTATACCACACACACAACATACACTGCAGACATACACATACATTAGCACTATATTGTTATCCAAGTTTACATATTTTGGACACTTCATTGTACCCTTCATGTACTTGAAGGAGTATCCTCAGATGCATGCAAGTTAAACGTTGGTAGGACTTCCTGGGATATAATTGACCCCTCTCATCACTATGAATTCACCTTTTATGGCTGGTTTTCCATTTTCCTTAAACTGATTTAACATATCCACATAGCTTCACCCTCTTTATTTCAGTTAATATTTGGGAAATATTTTTAAATTTCAGTATGTTAGTGTCTTTATGATTTAGAGTCATCTTATAAACATTACATAGAAATATTTAATCTTCTATGGTGGGCATGTTTTTGAATTTGGGCCACTAAGTACATTTACAAGTCACTAATACGTTTAAATACAAAGTATTTGACCCATTTTGACAGTTGTAATAATGTCTTTCCTGTTTCATGTATTTCAGTAGCACAGGGTGCTGGGAATCAAACTGGGGCCCTCTGTAAGAGGAGTAAGTGGTCTTAACTTCTGAGCCATCTCTCTGACCCCAAAGTTTTGCCTTTAAAAAATTATTTTTGATACTTTTATTTATTTATTTTTTTTTTGGTCTTTTGAGACAGGGTCTTCCTGTAGCCCCAGCCGTCCTTGAACTTAACTATGTCGGCCAGGCTGGCCTTGAACTCACAGAGATCTGCCTGCCTCTGCCTCCCGCATTCTGGGACTACAGGTGCACACCATGCATGGCTAACAATTTTCTTAACAGTTCTATTTTAGTCATGATAACTTATACAGATCATTTTCCAAGCTTTTTTCCTTTTTATTTGAAAATAATTATGGGCTCAGAAATATTTTAATGTATAAAACCTGTCTCCCAGATACTCCAGTGAGCAGACCTTTGAGATTAAAACTAGGCATCAGAACTAGGAAATTGGCCTTCAGTTTACACCACATTTTTTCGTGGACTTATTTGCGTGTGTGCGTGTGTGTGTGTGTGTGTGTGTGTGTGTGTGTGTACGTGTATAGTTCTGTGCAATCTTCTACTGTGTGTAAACTGAGTAACTACTGCCTCAATCAAAATACAGAGCAGTTTCATCTCCGTGGTACCCGTATTCTGCACCACTGCTCTTGCTCTGTCTCCCCAAAGCTAGTAGTGTGCACTCCATCATCGTAGTGCTGGCGTTTTGAGCACGTTATATAAGTTCCATCATAGGACCAGCAGCTTTTGATTTTTACTTTCCTTATGAAGTGTAATACCATTGAAATCAATTTGGCTTGGTGGGTGTAGCAAGAGTCCATTATTTTTTGCTTTTATAAAATAGTTTATTTTTCTGTATATCTATGTGTGCTTCTTTGGGTATATGTCTACGTGTGCGTGCAGGAGCCCCTAGAGATTAAAAGAGGGCATCAGATCCCCTGGATCTGGAGGTACAGACAGTTGTGAGATGCCATATGGGTGCTGGGAACCAAATCTATGTCCTGTGAAAGAGCAGCCAGTGCTCTCAATGTTTTGTCATTTCTCCAGCCATAAGAGACTACTTTTTTTGTGTTTTTTTTTTTTTTCAAATTCTTATTATGATTTATTTACAGCTACTCCAGGAAACTCTGGCTTTAGCTTTTTTTGGTGTAATTGTTTATTGTTCACTTCTGTGAATGCAAACATTAGTTT